GACAAATAATTAATCAAAATATACATGTATGTTAAACTAATATTCTAAATTCTGATTGAATACTGCTTACTTAGTTAGTTTGTTACAATTTTTGTAGTGAATTTAATATTTAATGAATTTAATATATAATCAAAAATTCAGTTCATTGAAATCACCAAGGAAGGCATGGTGGACACATTAAATGAAAAAAAAAAAATTAACGGAGAAAGCCATCATAAAAAAAACTCATAATGTCTATACAGTGCCATATTTGTGCTGAACAGATGCTTGATTTGCGTAGAGCATTCTTGTCAACAATTACTGTAGATTTATGAACCGGACTAATTGATTACTCAACGCAATCGTTAAATTTCATGGTCTGGTTTAAGTGCACGCGGCAATAAAATGACCATTTCACCGGGCAATATTGATAATCAAATGTCCATTTGGCGGCATTTATAGACAGGTCGATCCGCGACCAAGGAATTCTTTAATTTTGCACCGCGCCAACTGGATGGACGAAAGATGTGATTCATTTTGGCACGAAAGCGAAAGCTACGAGCATGCCATCAAAAACTACAATTGCGCCAGGCGAAAAATGCCACTCAGGGAATCTCGGCTTCGCTTTCGCCAAACGCAATTTCGACCTATCTTCTTTATCCCATTCAGAACTGCGTCGTTCGAGTCGGGATAATTTTTGCCATACGCACAAAAGGAGCAAAATAATTTTGGAAAAGCCCTCGGCTATCGATTCTCCCTGGCGCAAAATCACAATAGGGCGAGAAGCAAGGCCGGGTACGAACGAAATGCGACATTTTGCGGAGAGCGGCTGCGGAATTTCATTTGGCGAAATTAAACAAGCCGCCGCTTCTGCCACTTTGCATGCTAAATTCGCAGCCGCCGTTGCATTTGCATTTCAATGAGAGCAGGAAAAGGTCAATAGACGCCGGGGAATTACCTGCGAAATTCAAAACGTTTGCAAATTAGCAGGAGCAAAAAAAACACCTCTGATTATGTCGGCGCGTGATTCTCTTGCTAATTGCCGTGGCCAATCCATCACCGCGAAATGATTGCGGTCTGGGTGTTAATTAAAGAGACGCCACTTATCCTCATCTGAAAAACTGGAGCATTGCGCGACATGACTAATTGTTTCAAAATGTGGAACGACATGCCGCAGTCATTAATAGCTTATAGTTTAAATTGAACGTTCTTATAAGGAATGGAAAATAAATTTTTCATCTAAAATTTATGAAGTAAAATACATATGCAGAGAAAACAATTATTTTATATGACCAGCAATCAATTATATTTAGCAAAATTAATTAATTAATAATTCTTTATCAGTTTAATAAAACTATCAACATTTTATACTCACTTTCGCGCTTATGGCACAACTTCAATGGGGCATCATGTCCTTTGTCATTAACTCAGTTTTAATAATGAGAGTGCAATTAAGTTAATTGCTTGATAGCTTATAATTTTATATATGTTATTTTGATAATATTTTATGATTTAATAAGCACCCAGCATTATTAAAAAAATAGAAGGGGTAATCGTATCTTTTTTAACAAAAATAAACCACAATATAAAATTAATAAAAAAAATTAATGTACGCTATTTAAAAATTAACAAAAATCTTTAGAATAAATCTTCTCATTAACAAATATTTTTTAATTAATAGTTTAAGTGAGCACAAAATATCCAACTTCATAAATTTTAAGTTATAGTTATGAACTCTCTTGCAGTGACCCTAATGCGCAAAGCTGAAATGAGCTAAGAATATAATTTGCAAGGAACGAGATCTTCAAAGTAATGGCGTCAGGACGAAATGCTTTCAAGAATATTGTGTGTGCGTCTGTCTGGACTGCAGCAGACAACAAATGCACGGGCCATTGTGCATTTTGCATGCGGGAAAAGCCGCCGCGTGACCGCATTATCAAAGTGCAGCTCAAGAAAGCAGCCTCTTTAGTCCAACTTGCGAGATGCTTTTTATTTGTGTCGCACACGGACCACATCATCCTCTGTTATCTTCGCGGCTTTTGTATCAAAAAGACTTTGACACAGCACATCCAGATAAGTGATAAAACACTATCGCTTTTTATTGCACAATATGGGCAAAAAAAATGTTTACTTACAATATTATTTTAACAAGAATTTTTCGCAACATAAAGCCTTTTATGGCAAAAACGTGTCGTATTTTGGACATATGTATACTTTATTATTTCTGCCGTTCAAACTCTTAAAACCGTTAAATGCAATTTTTCTAAAGTGAACTGATGCAAAAATAAATAAAATTAATGTTTCAAGCCCAGTATTTTCAAACCAATTTACAAGCAGTTTAATTAAGTTTCATGTTCAATTTTATGTATTTTTTGATATAGCGTTGGCTTTATTAAAAGTGAATACGTTGAATAATATAAAATTCGCATCTTTTCTTTCAATTATATTAAATTTGTATAATTTTGAATGCATAGAACATTGGTTAAAATTTCCCTTATCTTAACTTGAAAAAATTCCTTATCAAAAATGTAATGATTTTTTATATTGAATCAATTATTAACCAAGATTTTACCTCTAAAATTGTATATTATCCGAAAAATTGTGTGCTCTGGCATATGTGATGTGTCCAATAAATGAAATAACAATTGAAGTCCATCGCGAAATCCTTCGATTACCAACCAATGCATGCCTTTTAATTTCAAAATTCAATTTGCGTTCACTGCGCACTAATCGCTTAAGCGCAATATTGTTTACTCGTGAATCCATTCTGTTATAACAAAACTAGTCCGCACAATAATTCCATTCAAACGCAATTGTGCGTCTCGTGTGCGCGCAGATGAAGGCATTTCTTCCGACTGGCGGCCGGATTCAATTAGTGCACCGCTTTAATTAAACCCGGTCGAGCAGCAAGTGCAACAATAATAATGCACGCCGTGATTGACAGCCGAGAGACGGTCGTGCAGGCATGGAGATAATTATGCCATATTGGGAGCTGAAATTCCTTTCTGCACAACCCACGCCTAGACCAGAGAGTTCGTAGACCCCCAGCAGCATATCTGTGACGGACGTTAAGACGGATTCGCATTGATTAATTATGCGGCAGCAGGACTTGAGAGGAGATGAATCGTATAGAAACTCTAATGACTGGTTACTTTCTGGATAACTAATCGAGATCTGCAACAAATTGGGGCGATGTTTGCTTATTGAATGAATCTTTACATAAAATATTTTTTAGCGTTAAATGCTTTTTATTTCATTATTCATTTAAAAAAAAAAAGAAGGAAAGCTAGAAAAGTAATAAAATATATAATAACGATTATATATTATTGTTTATTTATGTAAATGAAAAATTGAAGGATTTTTAAATTTTTTTTTTAAATTCATATATTTATTTTAAAATACTTAAGAGAACACCGATTTTGCTTATTTTAGCATGATAAAAAAATCTGAATTTAAACTTAAATTCATGAAATGGAAACTTCCAGAAGAAATATCAAATGACTATGATTGCAAAATTACTCAAAGGATAATATATATATATATATATATATTTTGAACATAACCGCGTTCCAATCAATGTAGCCTAGGGGCTCTGCGGGCTGGCATTATTTTGCAGAGATTGCCAAAAAAGCTAACGCGCCGTTGCTCTGTCCCGCGGCGGTAATTGAGTAATTATCGATAATTGTGCGTAATGATCTGCAGACAGGCACGACGCTGCATGATTCAGACCGTCTCGGCCGCGGATATTTAATCGCTGTTATACCTCACTATATGACTAACGATAATAAGCAGAGAGACGGATCGAGACTATATGGGAGCAGAAAAAAAGTGGACGAGCGCTCGCAGCCAGTCATTATTATGATTATTTCACTACGACTCTTTTTATTGACACAAAGCGGCGCGTGTGTAATTTCAAAAGTGAAAACGAACGCGCTCTTTCCACACTTGCAAAATATTTTCGTTCTAGCTCCTTTTTTTGCAACGTAATACATTTTATTTTGTCATTTAATTTTTGGCGCATTCCGCGTTAATCATAAGCACACGCGTTTGGCGCGATGAAAGAATCCGACACCCCCTGTTCACCTCTGGCGGACATAAATTCACATCACGAACTCGGCAGCGTATCCGCAAAAATTTCCACACGCATAGCTTTTGCAAGTTATTTATTTTTTTTTTTTTTTATAATTTTCAGCCAAGTAAAATATATTTTGTTGCATAATTTTTTGTAATGTTTTTTTGTCCTTCAAAATTTTCCTTTGATGCATGCTTACTACAAAAAATAAATGAAATTGAAAAAAAAATATAAATTTTGAAATTTCATTTCTATTCAAATATTCAATTCTATATTCTACTAATACAGTAAGCTTAACCAAAGAAAAAGCTAAATAATAAAGAACCGAAATGAAATATTTTTAAACTACTGCAAAATATCATATATTTTTAACTTTATTTTAAGTGATTACAGTTTAATTTATTTTAAAGAGTTTATATAACTTGTTCCAAAAAACTGTCAGCCTGAGATGTATGTACATATTATTCAATGCTTTAATACTTTGTTCAAACTCGGCAGAAATTGACGGATGGATCAAATAAAATTTATCACAGTTTAATAGTTATTTGATATTTTCATTCATGATCACGATATAAGTAAGTAATCAAAATAAATTCCTAACACTCATCAAGTGAAATTGTAGCCGATATGAATTAAAAATTTGTCAATGATGCTTTTTTATCTAACCTTATCTTCCTTCAGTTTGATCGGAGACCTTCATTATAAGATACAGACACCACTTCAAACTTACAGATAATTATTAAATTTTTATAAAAGAATTGTGCAATGAGTCTGTGAATATAAATCAAAATCGCTGTAACAATAAAATTGTTGTATAAAGTGAAACTTATGTATTTCATAATTGTTCCTTCATATTACAAGCAAACACGTCCGAAGCAACAAAGTTGGCATCGGAACCGATCGGTCAATCGCACCGTTATGAAATTGAATTAAAATGCACGGGACTCACCGACAAGCCAAGAGAGGAGGACGCGGAGTCTCATGTCAACGGGCACTTGGCGGCACCACTCGCAGGTCAAAAGTCATGGCTCGACGAGTTCCTTTTGGCTGCACAAATTATTCGCGCTCGCACACACGTGGTGCTGGTCCAGGTGGCCGAGCACCGGCGCCGACGACTGACTTTCGAGTAGCGGCGCTCGGCAGCGCACTAAAACGCTCCACCGCGACCACGCTGCCTTCTGCCAGCTGCTCGCGACAAGGGGAACGCCAAGCGCGGCCTCCGAGTGCGAGTGGGGACTTGCACGGAGCAACTACACGGGAGGGGCGCCGGCAAATTTGCCAAACGCAAAATTATTTTTTATCGCGGAAAGGCCACACACGTCTATCGTCTTGCTAATCAATTTTCAGGTAAGGTCGATTAAAAAAATTATAAACTAAATTTATTCCAACAAATCCATTGTTTGGTTCTAAAAAGAGAAGATGAGAAGATGAGAACGGAACTTGCTTACACAATTTATTCAAAATAGTGAAACTTGGTGATGGGAAAATTTATATTGGAAATAATATCACTTGATGTAAAATGGAAAAAAATGTTCAAAGCAGCAGAAATCAATATTTTTTTTTTCAAATAGTTCGCCAAAGCAATCACTATTTAAAACAAATTACTTTTTCAAATATTTTAAATAAACAATTAATTTTATATTAAACGTATCAAAGAAAAATTTAATTATATCATATAATCATCCTCTATATAAATTTTATATTCTTCAATAACCTAGGTTTAATTTTGAAAATACGGATCAAATTTTTGTTAAATTCATTCAGATTTTATTCATCAATTTCGTTTTTAATGTCAACCTTTTTGCATAGCTGTCAGTATAATTTACGACCGAAAATAATCATTTTTTTTTTATAATTTAATAACCACCTTTATGAAAAATGTTTCTCCGCCGTAAAAACTAACGCCTATAACGATCAAAACACCCAACGTGTGCTAATAAAATGAGCTCAGACTCCAGTGAATTCTCCCCAGCCTCGGACTTATGCAAATTGGTAAATTACATCGTTAACCAGAAAGCTCATTTGCATAATGCCACACTTCTTCTTTCAAGACTGAAAGCCCTGTTCTCCGTAATGTCATTATGATGACAAGTAAAATCGACATGATTTCAAATCGGATTATTAATATTTGCCAATCAAACTAAAAGAATTAAAATTCTGGAGCCGTGCGTTCCTTTATTAGGAGACCACACTTTCCTCGGTATCACAATTTAATGTGAGAGAGGAAATCGTTTCCGAGAAGTCCAAGTGGCAGACCGGCCCGCACAAAACTCACGTCCGAGCTTCTTGGAAGGACACGCACGACTTTTTGCTACTCGAATGCTTGTTTTTTGTTGGTCCCGGCGAAATGTGTTCTCCGTGCGCATCCATTATAATTTACCCTAGATTTAGAAAAGCAAGAGGCTCACGCAGTCAACAGATAAGAAGAATTCACGAACATTTTTGAAAAGTTAGTTTTTATAAATATTTACAATTTCATCTCTAACTTTTAATCAATTTAGCCAATTCAGAAATTCATGAAAGATCTTCAATGTTTTCCCCTAGCAAATTGAAAATGCTAGAAAATATTATTTGCAATGGGACGACGATGAGTTGAGAATTTGATGAATGCGACGCGAGTGAGTCTGCTGTTTTTACCCACGGCTGACAAACGAGCCCTCGGTTGACATCTTGCTTTGCATAAGCACCGCTCGCAGTCTCATTCGTTCCGAGCATAAATAAATGAACATAAAAAGCAGAGAGAGCATGTGCATCCGAACTGGTGCTGCTGCTGGAGGAGGCGAAATAAATTTGCCTGCCATTAAACTAGAAATGTCACTCACGAAGCAAAATTGAGCTCGCGCGCGACAATAAAGAAGAAAGTGCACAATGCATGCAGGTGGTGCGCTCGCCATTAAAAATGACAGGCGCGTGCGTTTGTGTAACTTAGTGAGAATGCTAATTAATATTTGTGGAGCATGGTATATATAATCATTATCAGTTCAATACCATCTTAATTGCGTTCAATTCTAACAAAGTGGACAACTGCAACTAAAAAATTGAATTTTTATCAAGCAATGTTGAATTCATATTATTTCCCGATATCTCATCTGACATTCTAAATTCTGATTAATTAAAATTTATATTTGAAAAAATTAACACCATGAACAGTGTGAAACGATATCCACCTCAGATGGAACTGTTAGTTGCAACATTCTTTGTAATGATTAATGCTGAAGAAATTAAATTTATTATATTAGACAGATTGTAAAATAAAGTACATAAATACAAACAAATAACTCTATCATTAAAAAATTCAACATAGTTAAACATTATAAAGTAAATAATTGAACTTTATTAATCAATTAAATTAAAATAAAATAAAATTTAGTATCAAATAAATAAGAATAAATATAATACAAGTTTATTGTTTTATATTTAAAAAAATATGCAACATAATTTATGTTAAACAGTTTCTCACTCTCTGCAAGGCCTACCTGTGGCAAAATTTGTGACATGTGACAGATATGTGATGAGAAAACTTAGTTAGTCAACCAAGGTTCACAGGCGGAGAAGGGGTCTTTTAAATCTCGTAAGTTTTGGCAAAATTCTAGTTTTTGGTAGTTTTGTTGTGTCCAACAATACCTTTTTTCTTATAATTCCTGTTTATTTGTCCAAATTGTTTCATCCATATTGTTTACATTAAATTGTTGAAAAAAAAATTTATTTGGAAAGAAAGGAATTGTTGGAAAAAACTGCACCACCACTAGAGAGAATTTTGCTAAAATTTCTGAGACCAAAATGACCACATCCGCCGCAGTGAGCCTCTATAAATGTTTAAACATTTCAATGTAAGCAATGAATTTGTAACAATGTGGACATATAAACAACAATAGTAATATACAAATTATAAAATAATTTTGAGGGCTCGCAGAGATTTGAACTTTGCGTTAATGTAACAATTATTTCCGGTCGGATGAGGAGCCTTTGAGAGTGGCGCGAAATTTGCTGACACACCGTGAGCAGCGCAAGTTACGAGAGAATGCGCGTAAAAATTACCGATAAATTGCTTTTTATTCATTATCCCCTCTACCGGTTTCTCGCCGTTTGTTGTGCCGGGCGAGCAGCACAGCTCCAGGGGCCAAATTTTTCTCAAAGTTCGATCTCAGCGAGCATTAACCTCGGCTACCTGTCTTACTTGTCCGCTGATTACTTATAAAACCAACTTCGTCTCGTAATAAATGCCCACGCCTGATTTAGTGACTCACCTTAAGCCTTGACGCTTATTTTTTTCCACACAACTACTCTTTTTATAATCCGTGTGAAATTTCGTGCCAACAACGTGAGGTCTCAGTTTTTGGCACCGCCAAACGCAGCGATAAAAAAAATCTTCACCTCGGATGATTTGCATAAACACGATAAAATGCTATTAAAATGCTGACGAGAGTATTTATCCGCACGATTTAGGGCTTGACCACTCGCGAAGGCAATAATTCAATATTTTTATACCTCCTGCTGAATAGCTGCACGCTTCGTTTGGTATGAACTGTTAGCTTGTACAGCGGGCTATACATGTTGATTTTACGTGCTTTGAGCGTTGTGGTTTTCACGAATCTGGCGACTAATTCCAAGAACAGCTACCTCAAGAGACGCCTCTTTCAAATGACAAGTATCACTTTGATCTCTTCAGTAAAAACAAAAAAAAAACAATAAATAAAATCCTTTTTGTAAGAGATTTTTTTCATAGTTGACAATCAGAAAGAAAAATTTCATTTCTATTACATCATAAACTCAGAAACAATTAAATAAGTTGGTTATACATTTTTTTTTAATTATTTATTTGCCGATTTAAGGGTATAAAAAAATTATCCAAATCCATGACGAATTAAAATATTTTCTTCGGCGATACAATAATACATTGATAAATTAAATTCTTGGTTTGCTATTGATAATATTGGAGAGCATAGATTTTTTTTAAATAAAATTGCACATTTTTCTGCTGCGTAATGCAATACTTTGTACCGCTAAGTTTCGCAAGTCGGTCTCGTAACACCTAATTTCCTCTCTCGCTTCATACAAGGAAAAATTGCAAATTATTGGTTACCCTCCGTCCGACTGCGACCGGCAGAAATCAAACACAAAACGAATGCGGGTCAAAACCGCGTGCGTCTCACAACACAATGTGGATCAAGGCTGCGGTACAGAGAGCGCGATTCAATTCCGCGACGCATTTCCTAGGAACTCTCTTTGACTTAATATCGCTTTTCTCAAACACCTCTACACGCTCAACATAAATAATGATGTTATAATAGAAGTGCGTGCCGAGGAATTATTATATGGAAATTAGAAAGTGAATAACTGCTGCGGATAGAGCAGCTCGCGATTCCCCGCCGAGTAATGTACTCGCATCGTAATAATAACAGCGAGTCGCGCAGCACTCGTGTTTGCTTACAACGGCTGAGTTGACACATTTATGCAACGACCTACAACAAAACTGACCTGTGTCAACGTGCAGGAATGCCATCTCGAGCGTCGGCCGCCTTTTGCTGACAATGACTGATGATCCGTTTCAATTTTAATAAATTTAATACAAAATTTTTAATGTTGGATGTTCAATAAAAATTTCATTAAGGGAACGATTCCAATCAAAATGGATTTTTTAACAAATTTTTGAATGATTGTCTATATTATACATCCAAAATAGAATAGTTAATCATATAAAAATGTAATAATAAGGGAACGAAATTGAAATTATAAATTTATCTTCAAGTAAATTTAAAATTTAGCAGTTTTTTTGCTTCTCTTTTTTTATCCACAGATTTTTTATTTTATTGAAAATTGTTAATTCAGGCAGAGCATAGCTCGAAGCGCCTTAAAATCTAGAAAATAAGCTTTAAAATTAAGTGAAGCAGCCGCCTCAACACATCATTTAACGCCGCGCAAGCTGAGTTTTATTTTCGTTTGGCTCTTTTTCTCTTTTTTTCCGCAGATTTTTGATATTATTAAAAATTGTTATTCAGTCAGAGCATAGCTCGAAGCGCCTTAAAATCTAGAAAATAAGCTTTAAAATGAAGTGAAGCAGCCGCCTCAACACATCATTTAACGCCGCGCAAGCTGAGTTTTTTTTTCGTTTGGCTCTTTTGCTCTTTTTTGCCCGCAGATTTTTGATATTATTAAAAATTGTTATTCAGTC